AGTGGGTCAACTTCACAGATAGCGCTGCAGATGGATGTGAGTCACTATGTGAGGATTCTGAAGGTTAGCTCTGGTCTGTAAGTAGGGCCGACTCAGCTGTGGAGTTTATTGGGATGCTGAATGCCCTGATGACGGGGCCGCTGTAAAACAGGAATTTACTCATCTCTCTGACATAGGGAGTCACCACAAAGATCTGTGTGGTCTCATTTGTGGCCTCTGAAAAGATTGTTGTTTCCTCTGGCTTTCCTTCACTTTATTGTTGCCTTTCATTTCAAATGAGTGCAAGCTGTTGCTTCAGAGCCGGACCACCAGCACTTAGTCATGCAAAATATTCAGAATTAAGCCGAATTCATATGTTTACCCTGTAAATTAACTGTTTAGGTTCGGCAATCCAAGAAAAAGAGATCAAGGGCAAATTTATGATGCAATATCTCTCATTAAACATAATTGCAGTGTGGTGCAGGGAAATGAACAAGAGGTTGTGTCAACACGCATGTGTGTCACCTGTTTGCCATAAATCTGAAGGGGTGTCGAGTTTGGGGCACATTCCAGAAAAGATGCTTTTTATCGCCGCACAAGTTTTTACCATCTGGCTCCTTTAGTTAAGATTCGTAAAGCCTGTAGTGACGGTATTAGAAATGCCCCCTATGGATTTAACTTTGGAGTTATGAAGCCCTTCTGTGAAACCAGAGAAATCCTGAAGAGACAGTCTGTGGTTTCTCTAAAATACTGAGCACAGACTGCTATAAATTTAAAGTTTCTGAATGTACAATAAATCTTAAGGATTCTACAAGTCTGGAGTTTGTCTCAGAATCTGACATCAATTGATATCTGTGAATATAATTTATTCTAAGTAATGGAAAATGTTCTGCAATGTCTACTTTTATGGTCTTTGGCTCTTACATAACCGAAAGACAAAACAGTACATTGATGAAACACAGCCTAGTAGAAAACCCCTCTGTCTTTTCCTCTCCTCCATTTCACATGTTGATCTGATGAGTCACTACTAACAGAATGTGCATGCTGGATTTCCTCCACACTTTTGATGGAACCAAATCTTTTTTCATTCATTGTTAAAAAAGTGACTCATTTTGAAGTGCCTCACTCCCCACGTGCCGCTGTGATCCCATGAGCGCTGGTGCCATATTAACAACTATTACAGAGCAATATGGAACCACGTTCCAGACAAAGAAAAGTGACTTGGTTCTCAAAGTGTTAAACTTGTAAAACAGGTTTTGATGCATTAGATGTAAATCTGTCAATGATTAGGCTGTGCAGATCCTGTGTCTAAGAATAGTTGGAATAAATTATGTATTTTTGTCTCTAGCGCTTCCCATCAGCACATATGCCAAGTACTGCTACCGGAAGCTCCAGAAAGTGGCGGTCACTGGAGGGAAAAAGGTGAATTTTTAATAAATACACCAAAGAAGAATCAGATCTTTAATATTATTATTATTATAACTAGTAATTGCTCTATTTCAAATGAAGGGTCTCCGTAAGCCTAGTTTGGAGGAGGTGGACCAAAGTCGACGCGCTATCATGACCCCCTCACTATTTGGCAGCTCTCTAGAGGAAGTGATGGAGCGGCAGAGTGAACTCTTCCCAGACAGGAAGTTACCATGGGTGCAAGTGCAGCTGTCTCAGTATGTGCTGGCTCTGGGTGGAGCCCAGACTGAGGGGATATTCAGGTAAGACCTGCTTAACTCACTACTAATTAGGCAGATTAGAAGAACAAGACTATATTTTACTATATGATTGTGTTGACAAGTAAATAATAAAGTTGTGACGCTTCCAGCTTAACTGTTTTGTAATGTGTCATTAGCACAGTTAAATAAAAGTATTAATAAAAAACATCTTAGTGACTCCAAACTTTTAAACGGTAGTATGTATTAATTAATTACGTTTTATTAGAAATGTAGAAATGTTATACTCTCACAGTAATTGCTTGTTTTTGCTCATATCAGCAAAAATAAATAATATCATCACGATTAATGGCAAAGGGAATGTTTGGAAATGTAAACTGATATTTCCTACTCGTACACTACAGCAAAAATATTACATTATTATAACAATGTAAATATTGTTTTTATTTTGGTGAAAATACTGTTGTGCACTATATGCAATAGACACAATTTAGGTTCCAGATCACCAATTTTCCAGGATGTTAGGATTAGAAATCCTATGCACTTTAACTGGGCTAATGTATGTCCTAAGCATCCATTTGTATTGTAGTATTCTTTACCTAGTATTGATTGATTTAGTTTGAGCCAAAAGGCAAAAAAGATCAAACTCTCCTTTTAACATATCAAGTTATGAGTAGCTCGTTGCTTGGCAAACTGCAAAATAGATTCCCCCTACTTTCTTATATTTATCTCTTGGGAGGGAAATTGCACAACTTTTGGATGCGACATACAATTTCCGTGCATAGTTCATGCATTATTATGGTGTGCTGTCTCCCTCTGGTGGTTCTCGAGTGTAACATTACAATTTCCTCCTACAGGGTCCCTGGTGACATTGATGAAGTTAATGCACTGAAGCTACAGGTGGACCAGTGGAGGATTCCTGAAAATTTGTCAGACCCTAATGTTCCTGGTGAGTAACTGTTCTCATGCATTTATAAGAATATTACATAGCCAAAGACAATATTTACTGGCATTCCAATAAAAGACCAGACATGTTTAAACATCTTTTACTAATGTTTTCCTCAGCCTCTCTGATGAAGCTCTGGTACCGTGAGCTGGAGGAGCCACTTATCCCTATGAGTTTCTACAAGGAGTGTGTCAGTAACTATGATGATCCTGTGGCAGCCATCAGCGTAGTGCAGTTGCTCCCTGAGCTCAACCGGCTGGTGTTGTGCTACTTCATCCACTTTCTACAGGTAGCCACAACATGTAAACACACACAATGGGCAGCAATGCTTTCAAATGCACAAAATAATTCTTATTTCACTTACATGTATGTCCCATGTCTTCCTCAGGTTTTTGCTCAGCCTACGAATGTTGCAGTCACTAAAATGGACGTAAACAACCTTGCAATGGTAATGGCTCCTAATTGCCTTCGATGCCAGTCGGACGACCCCCGTGTCATATTCGAGAACACCCGCAAGGAGATGTCTTTTCTGCGAATGCTTATTGTACATCTGGACACAAGCTTCATAGAGGGCATTGTTTAAAGTTCTCCTTGCGTCTCACTGGCAGTACATGATTCAGTGATGCACAACCAACCTTCTCACAAATATGAAAACATGGACAAAAACCAAGCAAAATCTTAGACAAAAGTACATTTTTAAGGATGATTGTGAAAAATGTGTATATATTTTAACTGTAAAACTCTCCACAACGTCACCGTTAGTTTTGTTAGTTAGGTGTGTTCTGCCCACTTCCTCGATATAAAGATCAGTGAACTGACGGTAACATGGCAAAATGTCACGCCTTCATCCTAAATTCTTTGCATGTGCAAGAAATGCATTAAAAAAGGCACATCTTCAGTTGTGATGATCACGAATTGTTAGTGGTACATACGTTAATGTGCATTGCAAGATTCAAAGTTAAAGGTAACTTGCATGGATGCATTGCTTTGTGAACACTCAAACTATGTCTGCTTGTGTTGTATAGTAAGTCAAAGTGACAGGCTGTAAGTCCTGACTGTATCTTTGTGGATTTTAAAGAAAGGGTTATCTGTTATGTACAGGACAGTTGTATAAATGTTGTATTTGTTCTTAGTTTGATCTAAGAGTAACTATAGAAAAGAGAAAAATAGTTTTTGTTAGATAGAGTGTGACTTTTTCATACTCTATCCAATAATATACAGTATTTTAAGAAGTGAAAGCTTTGTATTTTATTTTATGATTTTTTTAAAGACTTCTCCCTGATAATCAGGAATGTAATTTATGTGAAATTGTCCAGAGCCATGAAATAGTACATTTTCAGCTCCCATTGGAAGTCCACAGCCTCATACATACTATTTGGAAATACTACTTCTAAAAAAAATGGTAAATTAATTAAATATATAAAGTAATAATGACAGTAGATGCCATTGTTAGATGCCCGTAGAGAGAGAGAGAGTAAAAAAAAGCCTTTGAATAATTAAAATGTAAAATTGAAAAAAGTAAATAAAATCCAGGGCTTATCTAAAAGGTACCCTTTGTGTATTCATGTTCTTTCTATGTAAATAAAGCTTGTAAATAGTGCTGCTTATTTTACTGATGTTGCTTATAAATGGAACTGAGTTGTGGTGAGTGAGTTGTTGGAAAATAGAAAATCTAAATACTTTTGTATGTAGTATTCCGTGCTATAGACTGATTGTGTATGATCAAAATATTCTAACAACCTTTGGATTGTGTGTGTATTTTGTGTGAAATGGATATTGAGGAATAAGTACAATAAAGTTTCACAAAGATGTGATTTGTTTATTTATTTAATATTTTAGGGATTACATAAAAAAACACAACCGGGAGGCAGAAAAAATATGTGTTTCGTGGTTTCATATCGTAGGTTAGAAGCCTAGTGGTGGTGTCTGTAACTTAAAAGCAAATTCGGGCTGTCCAGTAGATCCTCCTGCACTCCTAACATTGGCTATTACATTACTAACAGTATAATTCATACATATATCACAGTAACACATATTAAATATTAATTAAATTAAATAAAATAACAAATTAATATATTTTTTAAATGAGTCTCTTGCTCACCAAGGCTACATTTATTTTATTTATTTATATTTTAATATTTAACTTACTCCTGTGATGGCAAAGCTGAATTTTCAGCACCATTACTCCAGTCTGGAGTGTCACATAATCTTTTTGTGGGTCCTTATAAAACACATACAGGATTCTCTGGATATTTCTATAAAAAAAAACTAATGAATGCAAACTTTTGAAGGGCAATGTAATAAACTAAAAGCCTGTGTAAATCACAATAAAGCTTCTAGACGTCTTTATATAGACGTGAAGTCGCTGACGCATGCGCAGTTCTGGTATTGTTCATACCGGTAGTCTGTGGAACACATTGGAAAATAGTAAGTGCGCCTCGCGCCCAACGTGTTTACAATAAAAGACGCGACGCGCCTTTATATAAAGAGACGGATATCGCTGCAGGTAACTGATATTTACAGTATTATACAATACTATTTTCGCAATGGCAAGACTTTGTTCGAGTACGGTATGTTTAAAGATGCTGTTTTAGAAAACTGAATCTGTAATTGCTGATTTTAGGTAATGAAATAAAATAAATGTAGTAAACATGTGCTTTGATAGATGCATGTTGTGATTTACAGCTTGTATTTGTGGGAGTGGCGATGTATTCGCCCATTACTATCCATGTCATTATTCTCGTGGTGGAGGGTGTGGATCAGTCAGGAAGTTAACGTCTGCTTGTGTTTTCACTAAAATGAAAAAGATCTGTAGCATTTCAAATGGTCTTAAATTATGTCTTCTGTCTGCTTTTGGCTAAAGACAGGCAGGAATATGCAATCTGAGAATTATAAGCAGCCATGTAGTGTAGTATTGGAATATATGGAATCTCTATTGTTTCCATTGTCATTGTCAGGCACTTGGTGGCCCCTGATAAAATCACATTTAATCACTCTCACCTACCGACTTCTCAGACAAGAGTAAATAAGTTAATTAAGTATGTTTGTTTGTGTTTTGTTATGTATGTATATAGGCCTATGGTTTATTTTGTAGCATTAATAATTTAAATTGTAACATTTTGATAGATCTATCCTGTCCCTTACATTTTATTTATTTAAACCGAATGTTGAATCTAAACTTATACTTCTATAAACTTATATAAGTTACTTGTATAGTATACATAAAAGGCTTAGTTAAGTGGGCTATTGATAATTAAGCTAAGTCTGTTGTTCGTGTTGTGTTTAGTGGCATGATGCCATGACCTGGATTCTGACATACACTGTTTCTAAGTCAAATGCTGTGATATTGCTTTGATAGACCTATACATATAAATTATGGAATATCATGGCTTTCAAAAGTCAAAATAATAAATCTTCTGATTTAAGCATAAACATTAAAATAATTATTCATTTAATTATTAATTCTTAATCATTTAAACCATTCTAATAATATTAAAGGCAATGCAAACTTGAAAATTCAAACCTCGATATCACTTAACAATAAGGTTTATTTTGTTGACATTAGTAAAACTACATTAGTTGACATGAACTAACAATAATAACTACTTCTATAGTATTTATTATTAATATTAGTTAAAGTTCATTTCAACATTTACTAATACATTATTAAAATCAAAGTTGTATATGAAAGATTTATATTACAAGTCAAAATTTGTTACAAAACAGTGCAATATTGTCAGTAACCAGTTTAGCAAGCTGTGACCATAAATACATAATTGTCAATAATTGTACATAATTGTTTTCCTGCCAAAATACAGTTATGAGTCATTATTGTTCATAAGAATATTATTATTAATGATACAGTTCAGACTTCTAAGTGTCAGACTTCTAAGTGTTATAATTATATTTATCAGAAAAGGAAATATTTAATTACTTTTACAACATTTTATTAGGGTTAATTTCTCTCATGTTAATAGCTCTTAAATAGTCTACTTGAGGGCTGGACATTGACACAAATTTCATGCTTTGATCTTGATTCAATTCAATTTGATATTGATTAATCAGGTACAGTGCATGATAATATTTCCTCAAGGAAAAATCTCTCAACTAATGCTGTGTAAACTATACAGGGAATCCAGTTGATCCAGCATCACTATAATATTAAAGGTTAAATGAACTGATTTGTACGGCAGTGCACTTCTTCCTACATTTAAATTGTACAATGATAACGTCATAATAATACATTTTAATGACTTATATTTCTACTCGGTTTAAAAAAGTGTGTAAACACTTAAATGGTGGCTGTCATAAAAACATGGATTTATTAAAAATACATTAAATATTGAAGAACAGTTTAAGTAAAAATACAATGAATATATGCAATATAGTGCATATATTTAGCAAAATGCTCCTATCTGGAGTTAATTTTCTAACTGACTAACGAGTTTTGAATTGCTTTCTGAGGTAAATGTAACTACATGACATTGGGTAACTTGAAACACTGAGTGATGACATGATCTGTGATACAGATTTCGGCAAGTTGTACTGTAGACCTATCTTTCAACATACCTTCTGATGTTCATTCATGTTTACTTTATTTCGTGCTGTAAATAGTAGTAAAGCGTAAATTCGTTCGCATGCCTCACATTAAGGTGCTACAGCGATAAAAGACACATAAAATAGCGTTGAAACGGTATTTATTGTTTACATTTTGTAATAAAAGTGACAAAAATTGAAAGCTGAGACTTTGTTTCATATCAGAAGTAACAGCACAAGGCTTATTGCGATTTTTGGATGGTAGGTACGCTGCTGTGTTTGTTCATCAATTGAAAATAACATGGACTGAAAGATCGATAATAAATGCCATTTAAGAATCAATATCTATGTAATGTAATCATCATCACTGGGCAGTTACTGAAATGTGGCCCTTTTTTATATTAGGTATTTGCTGACAACATGAGCAATACACCTCCCAACAGACGAGGAATAACTTTTGAGGTGGGCGCTGCTCTTGAAGCACGGGACAGTCTGAAGAACTGGCAAGTGCCATTCTTTTAAAACCAGTTTTTTTTTTAGCCTGTGTCCATCACTCCTTTTTATCGCAAGCTATCTGTATGTGATTTCGCTTGCAGGTATGTTGCCAACATTGAGAAGATTGACTACGAGGATGAGAAAGTCTTAATCCACTATCGTCAGTGGAGCCATCGCTATGATGAGTGGTTTGACTGGGCCAGTCCGTATCTGAGGCCCATGGAGAGGGTTCAGCTTAGGAGAGAGGGACGGCAGGAAGACAACATTATCCCTGTGAGTCACAGACTGCTCCTCAAAAATCCCAGGATATGCTAGCTAATCTAGGATCAGCCTCACATATAAATCTGTTCAGTGCAATGTGAAAGTGATGCTGCATCAGTGCTGTTGTTCTTTCAATTGATTATTCGCAAAAGCAACTCTTGCATCAACCTCTCTACACAAATATAATTTAAGGATAATTGTCCAGCTGGTAATTAACTAACTGTTCATTCATTGGGTACATAAAAATTTGATTCATTCATGCATGATACAATGTCTTGAGTAAACATACTATGGTGAACATGTTTTTTTTTATTTCTGACTTAAAATGTTTGATATTTTTCATGATTTTATTCAGTGTGATACAGCCTCATTAAAATAATTAAATGATTAAAAAGAAAACATTGTAAAGTACTTTGGCATAATCCTTAATTATTTTTTAATTAGAAAATTACATATAAATTCTAATGTTCGAAAGTCTGGGATCATACGATTTTTTTAGGGCTGGGCGATGTGGCCAAGAAATCAAATCTCTGTATTTTTTGGTTAAATGGCGATATACAATATATATCTCTGTACTTTCTGTTTTTCTATTTAGATAAAGAAAATATATATAAAAAAAAAAATATATATATATATATATATATATAAAATATATATATATATTTCACATTCTGCCCAATGATATCTACAAACAATTTTGATATGGAAACAAATATAGTTATATAATGTAATATTGACTATGCAATATATTATGTGCAAAAAGATTTTGTTTTTTAAATTGACTAAAGGCTAAACTAAAAATGAAAATAAAAACAAAAACAAAAGCACAAACTAATTATATTAGCCTGCATTTGATTACCCAACGCTATCTCACGACCAATTCGTATGAATTCGTACGAGTGATTAAAAAGTGGCTAATTCGTACTAATTCATAAGACCTCACTTGTACGAATTCGTACGATTTGTCTAAACCCACGTGATGGGTAGGTTTAGGGGCGGGGTCAGGGGTAGGTCATTCGTACGAATTCATACGAATTGGCCAATTCGTAAAATATGTACGATTTAGCAAAAATCGTACTAATTCGTACGAGTGAGGTTGTACGAACTGTTACGAATTAGCCACTTCGTAAAATTCGTACGAATTCCCGTGAGATCGGGTTGGATTACCCCATTATAATGGTAACTTTCATAAAAAATATACTTGTAGGTTTAAAATTCCACATGTCACATTTATTGTCTCCAAAATAAATATTTTAGCAATATGTTTACTGTATCGATATAAACAGTATTGCTTCATTCCATATCGTTTCACAAAAATATATCGATATATTGTACAAACTCGATATACCGCCCAACACGTCTCTTAAAAATCAGATAATTTGACCCTAAATACTGATTGGTTAAACCACATTCAAAACCATTGTAAAATGCAAATAAATAAATTTTGTTTTAATTCATACTTTTTTTGCAGGGATTTCATGTGAATGACAAAGTTCTTGCCAGTTGGTCTGATTGTCGATTTTATCCTGCTAAAGTCTTGGCCGCCAACAAAGATGGTAAGCTGTTATGTAAATATTGCATGAAACAAATGTTATGTGAACAGATTCTTTTTCAAATTGAAATTGTATGTTTCGAATGTGATTCAAATGTACAAAATGATCCTGCAGCATCCTACACTGTAAAGTTCTATGACGGTGTCATCCAAACAGTCAAAGGAATCCACGTGAAGCCCTTCACCAAAGAGGTTCATTTTGTATTTTTATCCTATTCATGTTGCCTCCATTTCAGTACCAATTTGGGTCTTCTCTTCTTTTCCTCATTCTCTCATTCTCTCCAATTAGTGTAGAAAGAAACTAACTGACAAAAATGGAGAGAAGCCAAAAAAGACAGTAAAGGACAAGAAAATGCAGGAGAATGAAGCCAGCGGGGATAAACAGATTGACCTTGTTCCTGAGGAAGAGGAGGATGAGAATGCAGTCTTGGATGGAGAGGAAGGTGAAAAGAAGAAAAGCAATGGGAATGGGAAATGCATTGAAGTGCAAAATATAAGCATAAAGGAGGAGGAGGAGGAGGAAGATGCAGAGGGAGAGAGAGTATTGGAGCAAATAGGGCAGCACAACTACAGTAAGTTATTTCTGAAGAGGGATTCAGGGCCTGAGGAGAGAGAAGAGAAGACCAGCTTGAAAATTGAGAACTCTGTGGTGTTAGATTTGGGTGTGAACTTTAATGAGGGGGTGGTAAAGAGAAATGAGACAGAGGAAGCAGAAGTCCTGGAACGAAAAGAGGAGGAAATCAAAGGACAAGATCTTCCTCATAACAGAAAGTCACGGAGGCAGCGAATAAGAAGTACGTACAAAGTTAAACTATTCAAAGCGTTTTTCTTGACTGTATACAAGTGAATGATTTGTAGGTTGATATCCCTGAAAAGTATAAACACTGCTTTTGGTTTTGTGGCGGCATCAAAACAATGTTCTATTTGTTTGAGAACTGACTCCCGACCAGCCCTACCCGATAACAGTGGCTCAAATAGTGTTGAGTTTGGGGAGGGGCTATTTGTGGGGAATATTTGGGAAATGTGTTTGAAACGAACATTATTTGTTCAACTCCATGTGGTAGAGCTGCACAATCAAAATACACAGCACAATATGGATCAGAGCAATTATCAAATTGCAAAGGCTGTGATTTACTGAAAGATATGCGTGCTTTTGAAGTAAAGCGATCAAACTTGTAATGAGAAGCACTTATAAATTGATTGTTTTCAACAAAAGAGATTTAAGGGCTTTCTGCAGTTTCCCACTGAAATAAAGGCTCAACGGTTTACTGTTTGAACATGAAAAAATAAATAGTCTTTTCTTGAATACTCAATTTTCAAAATGTAAATCGCAAATACAATCATCAGAAAAAAATCAATTCATGGCATGCTGCTCTATTATTTGGTGAGGGTTCATTTATTCAAGTTTATTCAACATTTAAGTTTATTTTCTCTAGGGAAGAGGAGACTTTCAATGGCACGAAGGAGCTCCAAAAAACCCAAGACGGATTCAGGTTTGACTAGTTGACTTATGTAAAAAAAAAAAAGTGTTTACTAGTGCCACAATAGTGGATTTCCTCATCATTCATCTCTTTCCTCCAGAAAAAAGTTTTCATAATGATTGCGAACCCATATGCGAATCCACCAATCTGAAAACTCAAGGAAAAGGATCAGACCCCTTATGCTTGACACAACCATCCAATGACACATCAGTACCAAAGGCTCAGTGCCAATCAGAAACCTTTAAGCCTACAGGTGAGAATCCACCCACCACATCTGTAAAACACATTTTACTCAAAAAAGACCTGGTTCATAATGATTTTTTTTTTTTTTTAAATTGTAGCAGTTAGAAAACAAACCTTCCACAACCCCAACCGGTTTAGCAGAGAACCATGTGAGTAATGAATAACAATGATTACAAGCAGAATCATCTTGAATAAGTGACGATGAATGTAAATTGTACTTCTCACAGTATACAGAGTCATCAGAAACCAACCGCCACCAGTGCTCTCTATCAACTTAGACCATAATCCATATAAATGCAGTGCTCCTGGCTGTACGAAGTCTTTCCGCAAAGCAAAACTCCTGCACTATCATATGAAATACTACCATGGAGATGATCGTCTGATGGAGCCAGACCCGATCCAGGCAATAGACAAACAGACCGCACTTAATAATCAGGATGGCTCTAAGAAGAGGTGCGTTACATCGCATGAGTGTGCGCAGGTGACCGTGAAGAGACGCTCTCTTGCGCCCCCTGCTGTCATCGCACAGAATTACCAACGATGGCCTTCACTGAAGGACAAGACCAGGGACAAGACCAGAGACAATCAGCTAGACAGCAACATGCATAGATACTTCAAGGAGAGAGAGAGGAGATTTATGGAAATGGGTATGGCTGATGGATAAAATTTATATTGTATTTCACTGAAAGCATGTGGGATTTTCAGTGTTATTCCTGAAGGCTTTAATACATGACTTTGTTTTTTTGCCTTTTGTAGAAGGTGTGAAAGAACGTGACCGGTCAAAAGAGAAACAGACTAGAGACTTCTTGCGTATAAAGTTAAAGGAAAAGAAAAAGATGAAAAAAAACACATCAGGTAAAGAAAAGTAGCATATTTACAGATAATCCATTCTGTTGATTTTGAGTGATGGTAAATTTTTATTTCTGTGCACAACTGTAACTGAACTAAAATGTGTTCGTAACTAAATTATAATAAAAGTAGAAATATAAATTATAAGTGTAATTATATGATCTCATAACAATGTTATATTATCATACGTCACATGCTATCCAAAACATCTTGCATTTTATAATTTACGAAAATAAAAACATTTTGCCCTGCCATTCATCCACTTCCTGTCAATTTATATTTTCACTGTTAGTACATTCAGCAGTACTTTAACTGAAGTTTTCTTATCCATCCTAATGTTTTGTAGAGTTTATAGATTTTTTCAATTTGAGATTATAAGTTTTTACCTCATATGTTTCCAGATGAGGATAGCATTTCAGACTGGTCCTCTGACAGCTGTGGTTGGAGTGAAGATGAAATGGGAGCAGATCTGGATGTCATTGCCTCACCTCTCAGCTGTAGCTCTGTTGCCTCAACTACAGGAAGTCAGGATACTGTCCGATGTGTGTGTGAAGCGGAAGAGGAAAATGACTTCATGTTACAGGTGACCATTCATTTGGCCTGTACACTACCATTCAAAATGTGGGGGTCAGTAAAGAAATTAGTACTTCTATTCAGCAAGGATGCATTAAATTGACCAAAGGCGATAGCAAAGACATTTCTAATGTTACAAAAGAGTCAATGATCACCAAATCAGCATATGAGAATGATTTCTGAAGGATCATATGACCCTGAAGACTGGAGTAATGGCTGCTGAAAATATATATTTGACATCACATGAATAAATCACATTTTAAAATAGACATTTTATTAGATTTAGCTATAACATTTTCACTATTAACAATGATCGCATTTGTTGTTTTTTCTCAATGCACCTCAGTGTGAAGAGTGTCTGTACTGGCAGCATGGAACCTGCATGGGCCTCCTGGAAGAGAACGTTCCAGAGCGATACGCTTGCTTCATTTGCCGGGATTCTCCAGGTTTGGAAGTGATCCATGTTTTAGTGTTGATTTCTAAACAAAACTCTAATGTAGACCTCAGGATGAGTGGCAGTTTGAGTAGTTTGACTCAGCGTTGTGTCAATTCCCCTTTCTCCTGCTAGGGAATTATGGAATTGTCTGCTGTTTTAAGTTCATTTTGGCTTACCAGTGCATTTGTTTGTGTGTATCCAGGGCAGACCAGAGGTCAGAGACAGAGCCTGCGGTACTGGTATGACAGGGACTGGCTTAGCACCGGCCATATGTATGGCCTCTCTTTCCTGGAGAACTACTCCCATCAGAACGGCAAGAAGATCGCAGCCACTCATCAGCTTTTAGGGGACGTTCAGCATGTGCTTGAAGTCCTCAATGGCCTGCAGCTCAAAATCAGCGTGCTACAGTAAGGCCACATTTACACTGCAGGTTTTGATGCCCAGTTGTTGACTATATCTGAATGTTTTTTTTGTTTTTTTTTTTACCCATATCTGATATCTTCATTTACACTATTCACTTGATGATAGCTAGGTCATTACACATTACACCCTTGTATCTAATGTTATAGGCTAACACAATAATATACACAGTACACATAAAAATAGTGTTACGTCCCTTTCTGCAGGAGCACGACTCATCCAGACCTCAAGTTGTGGCAGGAGCCGTGGAAGCTGACTGAGAGATCCAGGATAAAAAGCATGGCTCTTCCAGACGCAAAAAACGTTTCTTCGTCAGCATCTTCAGAAGTCATTCTACATAAAGAGCCCTTCTCTTCATCCTTCCAAGACTACATTAGCAGTGAGCACTGCTACCAAAAGCCACAAACATTGTACCAAGTATTGGAGCCGAGGCTGGTGCTGAAGACACGGGTTGAGTCGGTGTTGGAAGATCGATCACACAACACAGAGAGAGTGATGAAGAATGAACAACACTATTATGGAGAGATCCAGCCTGCTTTACTGAAGACATCTAGTGCTCAGCTGTTCAACCACAGGATGGTGAGGGTCAAATGAGGTTAATATTATGTGATTAACACTGTCCAGTTCTGTGAAATATAATTATTATGGTCTGATCCTACAGTGAGCTGATATTTTTAAAGGAATAGTGCATGTGCCAGGATTTTACTTATAATGAAAGTGAATGTGGATTTGTGCTGTTAAGCTCCAAAATGATAAAAAGCAAAAAAGGTATCAGTGGTCCAACATTATAAGAGGTCCATCAATATTTAAAATACGTACTGAATATTAAACATCTGCATCTGCATCTATTAAATAGGGCTCATTTAGACCCAGCACGACCGGTTTGATGTCATAATAAAACGAAACGAAAAAGTCGTCATTTAGGATTTATTTCGAGTTGAACTATTCCTTTAATGATTCACAGCAAACTTAAAAAGTGTACTTCAAAATATGTACAGTACATTTGTTCAAAAGGCTTTTGTTTTTAATAGAAATTAGAAAAAAAAAAAAAAAATATATATATATATATATATATATAGAAAATGCATCATGGTTTCCACAAAAACATTAAGAAGCACAACATTAACCTTTTTTGAGCACCAAATCAGCAATAATAAAATCATTTCTTAAGGATCGTGTGACACTGAATTGACACTGATTGGAGTAATGGCTATTGAAATTTTAGTTTGCGTCACAGGAATAAATGACATTTTAATACATGTATACATATATTTAATACATATGCATTTAAAGTAGAAAGCACTTATTTAACATTTTAATATTATTTCAAGATATTACTGTTTTACTTTCATTTCATTTTCTTTTCTTTCTTTTTTTAAATCTTACCAACCCCAAACTTTTGAACAGTAGTGTAGACTGACTGTTTTATATTGTTTGTAACTGAATGTTTATTACATTGAATGCTGCAATGTAAGTAATGAGTGAATGTGAAATTGTAGGATGGAGGAGAGAAGCGTGAAGTGTGTGGTGATGGAGGCGGGGTTAAAGGTGCAGCTCAGCCCCAGCAGTGGAGGATCAATCTGCTGGAACACATCGAGACTTTACAAGAAGAGGTTACTCGCAGGATGGACTTCATCGAAAGGGAGCTTGATGGTGTGCCAGAGGGTTTCAGGGGGCTGGATTTATGTTGTGCAATTTTTCATTTGGTGATTTTTATAATGGGAATGTTTCGTTTACATTAAAGTTAATACATCGAAACACTAACTATTCATACTTTGTTTGCTGTTTCAGTGCTTGAAAACTGGCTGGACTGCACGGGTGAGTTGGAGCCTCCAGAGCCATTGGACCGTCTGCCTGAACTCAAGCAAAGCATCAAACAGCTGCTGAATGAACTGGGAAAGGTGCAACAGATTGCTCTGATTTGTGCCACATGAGGGCGCCAGGGCAAATTTCACTATCATCACAGGACTACCTCGGTTTAATACATTCCTAAAGCGGGCCACGAAACCAAAGAGCCTAAAGAACATTAGACTGAGAACAATGTGAAACTGAACAAGCTGTTTGTTACAGAATATGTGATTCTGACTATGGACTTGGAATTAGGATTGAACACTGCGAAACGTTATCACCCCACCTGTCCCTTTACAGCAAATATGATCCACATCCTTTTCATCCTTTCTCTTTCACCGAAAGTAAACATATAACAAAATACCATATATATATATAAGTTAATCATGTTTATTCTAAAAACCTGGATAGTCAAAATAAGGATCAGTCCTGCATTATTCAAAAGTTAGAAACCATTAACCTCTATTTAACAGGTTGGGTATGAACTGTGAAACTGAAGTAAAATGAACACAATGAAACCATTGTTTATGTGCTCCGTTGTATTTAAAGGACCTTATGCTTAGAAAGTTAAAATGTTTTTTTGAATATTTATTTCTGAACAACTGTGAATTTCATAATTACTGCAATCCTCAGTAGTCAACTTTCTGTAGTCTGTGACATCACTTCATTATGGATTAGCCATAAAATGTTTAGTCCTGGTTTCACAGACAGGGTTTAGATTAAGCCAGGATAGACCTCAGTTCAATAAGGACATTTAAGTAAACATGCATTAGAATAAAATAAAATAAAAACAAACAAAAAAAGAATTTTTTTTTTTAAAAAGATATCTCAGTGCAAATTGCTTTCAGTTAAAACAGCTCAAACGTACATTTTAGTCTGGGACTAGTCTTAAGCCTGGTCTGTGAATCCAGGAGTTAGTATTAAAAGACTGAACCACATGACTGTTTGTCTAAAAGCAGAAACTGGAAATACTGAATTAGTCATTCTGATTTAAACATATAAATCTATGCATATTAATTATCTTGATGAACACATATATAAAATTCCTGTAATTATTTACCCATCTTTTCAATACTGTAGCCTATGACTGGAAAACGGTATTCCCTCTATATACTGCATTATGATGACGAAATGCTTGTTTAACATGTTGCTGCCCAACTGTTGACATTGGAGACAGTTACAATAAAAGCACTTTGTATGTATATGTGTATACTTGGTGTACTGGTAATTTTTCTTTAGCCAAAAAATAGTCAAAAAAAGACGTGACACGATATCCATCCACATAGCCTCACGGGGGCGATAAATCGCGTTTAAGGGCCGGGGGTCTTCCAAACGTTGAGTGTAATGTGGGTAGCCCAAAAGGCCCCGCCCACAGAGTGACATCAAAACACGGCTGCTGGCAGAGACTGCGAGCAGAGAAACGTGCGGACGACGAGCCCTTCAACCAGAAGCCTCCGTTCACTTCTACATCTTTGTGGGGGATTTTACCATAGTCAGATCGAAGTATTGTTCCCAAGACTGTTTGGTGAGTTAAATACCTAATTTTAGATCTGAACTAGTACGATTTTGTTCTTGGAATATAAACAAAACTGACGGGAATTGTGACATAATTTAGAGTGATAGTGTTGGTCATCTTCTCTTCAGCGACCAATGTAATTCCATTTAAAATGGCTCCATGTTTTTAAACTGCTGGGAGCCACAGTAACGTCGATTTCCACCACAGCTGCTGAAGACAGAAGATAAAAAACACGCACATTTTGATTTAGTATAGATCGATTTTTTTCACACACCAGACACCAAGGATGTTGCCAAAAATAGAAACTTTTTACCTCATTAGATGTAATGGGTTGTAATTCGGTGTATTTTTTATCCTATTTGTCGCTGCAGATGTTTCATAGTTTTCATAGATGGTTCTCGTATAAAACAAGAGGGCCACCTGCAATTTACATTCTATTGAATACAATTTGTCTTTGTGTACATGTGTATAACATAATATAGAACAGTTTTAAATATGTGTTGTTGTCTTCGTAATTGTGTCTGAATTTGTCTATTGCTGAATTATTTACGTCGGTCTAACTTTGATTTGCAATTGCATCGTCTTCCTAATGTTACCCTATAAATGTAAAATTCCAAAATAAAAAAAAATAAAAACATAACTCGAGGGACGCTGATGTATCAAATACGTAAGCTACAGATGGGTTTGGGGTTAATTTCGATTATATACGAGACAACTTCCGGCATGTCACAAATGACATTGTCCTCGGTCACCTGCTCATGGGAAGGTCGCAGTGCTGATGATGTGAACTCCATGTGCTCGCAGGTGTGCTTTTTAGCACGCTCAGACAATGTGGTAGTGCACTAGACACTATTGACACAACAAACAAACAACACTAACCTGTTGTTATCATCAATAGAGGTCTCCTAAGAAATCCCTTAGTCTTTTTGCTTTAATCTGTTTGCCGTATCTACATTGAAACGTTGATGGTTGTTGTAGTACACAGTATTTGTGTTAATCAATTGTATTCAAGACAAAGCTTTAACCGATCTTTATACTGCTGTTTGAAATGACGTGTGTATTTCCATGGAAATCCAATGAAACTTTCTACTCAAACAGGCATTTCACGTGGAAAATTTCACATTTTGACTGGTATAATTAATAATGGTATTATTATTAATTATAATCATCATTGCCTCGTGAAAAGTTTGTGACTGAGGTAACCCCTTTTTAGTTTGTTTACATCCGAAAATAACAGATGATTGTGCCTGAATGGGAATAAGAAAAATATGATCTGTTTTTATTCTGATTTCTGGCTTTGCAGTGAATGCTTTAACTCGTTTATCTGTCATTATACTATACATTCTCTCTGTTTTAATTTTCCTTATTTTTTAAAACGTTTTTATAATCCCTTTTCCTATTACAAAACATTACTTTAGCATTGAAACATCCCTATATGGAGAAGTATATTTGGAGAGAGCGAAAGAGAGAGAGAGATTAGGTCTGTTCCTGCAGATTGGCGTGTAGAGATAGATAGATGTCAGGGAATCCTGGGACTCTCGGGAGCAGCGAGCTTTAATTAAGCTGTATGCTCAGTTCAATTGGGTGTGCTTACAATCTCAATAACTCTTCTTATCAGGAGGATTGTGGACCAGCACTAGGGCCAAAGAGTATAAAGCCCATAGTGCTAGAGATAAAGACTACACTTCATTTTAAATGGCCATTCTGAATGTGTTAGATCTTATTTTAATGTAAAACATCATATTTTGGTGACGTGTGTGTTACAATAGAGTGAATGCAAACAAAGCACACACAGTATAGGGATAGTTCACCCAGATTTGAAAATTCTGTCATTATTAGTTTAGTCAACACATGTCAATCAAACCCGTCCCATAGGGTTTTATTTTGAATCTTTACGCAGCACTCGTACTGCTGTTGCTTTGAATAAATTAAGCAGTACATTTCCACTCACACTCATCATGGCATGTTCTGTAAAGCACCTGCTGCAGGTGGAGCAATATCACAGTTGTCAGGCTGTTGAGTGTGTGATGTTGTGGACAGATTCCAAACTGGTCCTCCAGGCCATCCCTCACTGCTGGGATGTGCAGGACCAAAGGGACACTCTGTAATACTTAATCCTTTTTGAATTCAGATTATGCTTGACCAGACATAAATTGACATATAAAAATGACTTTAATGCACAAATTTATCTTCATAATATGAGTTTATCCATTCAAAACTCAAAAAAGAATGTAGGAAAAAAAAGTTTCTAATAAATGATGTTTAAAAAATAAAAACTTATATTCATAACATTACCCCCAACAAATGTGCCATGTTTATAATAATAAATGTCTCTTGAGCACCAAATCAGCATTTTAAAATGATTTCTGAAGGATCGTGTGACACTGAAGACTGTAATGATGCTGAAAATTCAGCTTCGCACCACAGGAATAAATAACATTTCAAAATATAACAAAATAGAAAACTGTTATTTTAAATTGTGGCCTAATAATATTTCACAATAAGACAGTTTTTACTGTATTTTGATCAAATAAATCCATTCTTTCTTTCAAAAACATTATTTTACTTCCCCAAACTACTGAACACAACAGTAATGCAAATTTCAAACAAAAACATAGTAAAACTTTAGTTCTGTTTAGCCTTAAAATTATACTATTACACTGTAAAAAAATTTTTTTTTTCTTTTGTCAAATCAACTTAAATAATTTATGTAGTTCAGATAACATAATATTTTGAGTTTCTGATGCTTAAATCAATCTCCTTCATTGTATGAACTAAATTTTTCCACTTCATTCAGGTTACTTCATTTTTTTTAAGTTAAACCAACAATATTTTTTTACAGTGTACATGTTTCAATTGTTTTTAAAAGACTTGGTTGTATTTTTGTAAGATGGTAATGTCTTGATATAACCTTACAGACCAGTGTTTACTGAAAAAACAAATTGGTTGTTTGCATGGTAGCGAATATGATGGTCTGGAGCGTTTGTTCCCGTGAGTGTGCTTCCTTAAGTGCAGTCTAGTGGAGACTCGAGAGAAAGAGGAGGATCGCAAAAAAACATCAAACGTCTCATTTAGTGATTCAGTCAGTGGAGTTTTAAGGGCTTTCAGTATTTAGTGAATTGCACTTCTCTCTCCCCGTTTTAACCTTTATTGTTATCATAAACGCTGTGAAAACTGTTTTTTCGGCATACGGCAGCCATTGTTAGCTTGACTGTCTGAAGTTCCCTGTGACCTTAATTTTCTCGATTCTGGTGTTGATGCTTGAAAAACGCTTGCTTTTTTCTCATTTTCAGATGTTGCAACTTGTTAATCAGTTCAAACCCATCTAATATCTGACCTACAAAAGGCGAATCATCCCTGTGCTGGATCTCTGAGCCCTTTTAATCAATTTCAGCAGTTCGATCTTCGTCTTATTAAAATTAAAGGTAATTCGTTCTGACCTGTCGCACGTGTCTGTTGGGTTTCATGTGGTTGTCCTGGACTGTGGCCAGCCCACTAAACTTGTGTCTTTGGTTTTGTGCCATGATTCTCTGTCTCCATCATCGTTTCCTCCTCATTTTCACCTTGACAGCTGTGCTTCTGCCTGATGGCTCAATATCAGGCTGGCCTGCTGAGATGTCTCAGTCTATTCCATCAAAATGGTCATCAGATTTCACACTGACCGGCACTTTTTCAGATCACAGCAGACGCAGAGGCTGTTTTATTTGCTCAGAGTATCTTCATGCAGCTCTTGAATTTTAATCTTGAGCAGTAGTTTGCACTGGATCCCTAAGGACGCAGTGCCCTTAAAAGCAAAACATATAACAATCCTTTTGTAAGAACAACAACTGTGCTAGTTCTGCTTTTGCAACGTTATTATTATTTTTTTTTTGCATGAGCCACAATGAAACAGTTCAGTGTCTCTTTAGCTTTTGCCCTGAAATGTCTAGTGTGTTATTAATAATAAACAGTGTAAAATAAACTACCATTCAAACGTTTCGATGTTGTTCAGATAAAATCTGACTGGGTTCTCCGAGCACTTCCCCTGAGCCCGACTGATAAAGGATTTTGAAGGCTGATACCGATACAAATATTTGTTGGTTTTAAAATCTTATATTCTGATATATCGGCCGATATTTTTATTTTATTTATTTATTTTCAGAAATGCACAACAAAACATTAATAGATTTCCCTAACATTAGTTATTTGTAGTTGTTTATGAGTTTTAACTAAAACAATATGATAATGCATTTTAAAAAGAAACTTGTTTCTTTTATTGTCACAACAGAGCAGACTGATGTTAGTCGCATTAGCTTTGTGGTTAGCTAGTCTATGATGAGCCATAATTTAGCAATGGATTACGTCATACTGCAAATTGTAAAACATACATTTTCAATATAACAGGCCAAGGAGAGATGATGCGTCTCATTGCTATAACTGTCACGCGCTATTAAAGAAATACTTCAGTCACATTGTCAAAATTTAAAAGGACAGTCAGTCAACTAAACTATTAGCTAATTCCGCTTCAGTCTCAGCTTATTTAACAGCAGCAAAACTGGACATGATAGTCACAAATTTTGTCGTGCTTATTTGAGTTAAGAGAACTGATGCGGATGTTCTTTTAATTGTTATTCAAGCAATGTATGTCTCGTGACCAACTCAACGAGTGTTGCCAACAGGGACAGTGTAGAGTGCCCTCTGGTGGACAAACTATACAACTCCAACACTCATGACATGGTTCAAGCTTGTTTCGTCCATTTTTATTTTATTTTTTAAAATATTAGTTTATCGGCCATTATAACTGCAGATACCGATAGTTTGGAAAATGCCTAATATCGGCCGATAATATCGGCCTGCCGATATATCAGTCTGTGGGATTTCCCTTTAATACATTTTTTCCCTTCAATGCAAGCCAAGGCTCCTCCACATGTCAAATATCTAGATTTTATTGATGTTACCATCTTGATTATTGATTACCTCATTTACGAGATAAAAAGTAAATGCAATATATAGAATGTAAATGATATATGTGCACACTATATGTGGATATTTCTTGACCATCTGCTTTAGAAGGCTTCCCACACTGTGATTTAACCTACTTTAAATCCTCATGCTTTGGGTAAAAAAACTGAGGCCAAAGCAGATCCTCTGCAGGGACAGATGCAGTGATGGGATTGTTTTGATGTCACATATGTCCCCCACGGACTGCAGCTTTAACACCAATCAAGTTATCCGAGCTCTAATGTCAAACAGCCTCGTCAGGTCCGCACCAAAAGCATACTGTTAAATTCCCCTTAATTTAAGTGTGTGTGTGTGTGTGGGAGGCATAAGTGAATTTCTGGGAGGCATAAGATGTTTTTTTCTGAGGATGCCAACAAATAAGCTTTAAATCAATACAGTGAGTGGCTTTCTGTTCTAATAAGGTTAAACATTGTGATCCTTCAGGAATAATGCACTCCGTTCAACGCATTCTGGGAACTCTAAGAAGGGTTTTCGCTATAGTCTGCATTATATATGAAACTGATTGTATGTGATTGTATATGTGTGCATAAGGCAGACAAGTATCCTCATATACCCTTGTGTGTATGCAAGTCCTTGTTTCTTCAGAAATGACAGCAAGGAAGTGGCTTAATGTATAGGGAAAAAGCCGAAGTATGATGGATGCGATACTGTGAGTCTGTGACAGTTGCGTCAGCATGCAGGGTGTCCCTCATCCCTCAGTGTGTGAAAAAGAGAAAGAGATGGAACTCCTTTTTTGGCAGAGTTTAGTGCATCGGCCGCTCTATGCCACCACAAGAGCTTTATCACGCACGAACTGCTTATACCAGGGGTTTCCCTTAATTCAGTTTGTGATAGAGGGAGCCACAGAGATGGAGGTGAGAGGGAACATACAGGCTGTCTTCAGAATAGCAAATCTAAAACCTTCTATGCATCGTGCTTTCTTTAAACATAATACATAAAATCAATTGGTTTAAATTTTTTATTTCAATCTTTATGTATTTTATGTATGCTAATATGATCTTTTTTTGTTCTTTTTTTTTCTTTCTTCATTTTAGAGTGATAACACTTTACTTTTTTATTTTTATTGCATTCATTATGCCTTGTAATGCACCTTATAACCCTTGAATGGTCTCATAAATAATTGTAAACACTGTTATAATACATTATAATACTTATCTATTAATTGAAGACACCTTTGAAAACACAACAAACAACCAATTTTAGAAGTAACAAAGAATCTGCAAATATTATAATGCATTTTAACTGTGGTTGCAATTAGTTCTGAAAATATATAAGGCGTTATACATAATGAATGCTTTAAGTAGGTGTAACACTTTTTTTCGGTATGATTTCTAACATGTTTGTGTCGTCATTGTTTGTTGAATGTCAAACGTTAAGATGTTGTTATACAAAATGATATTAAAAATGCAAGTTAAGATTATATAGTGCTCATATAATGGCATTTATAAAATGAAACAATGTCTAATATTTATATTTAAAAAGCACTATATGTTGTATCTAAAAATGCCATATTGTTGGGGTATAGAATGTCTTTAGTAAATAATATTAAATGATATGAATAATATATAATAAATGAATTAATAAATGAGTAATAAAATGAAAGATTAAATGGAAATGATATACTAAATCCATATTGAACCCATAATACATTAATAATTAGTTAATAAATGTGACATTACCTCAACAACACTGCATCATGCTTTGAAACATTTGTCAATGCATGTTGTGATGTATTTTCAGATCTAGTAGGCATTATAGAGTGTGCACTGCACAATATGCTTTACCTAGACAATACGACATCATGACTTTTGCGTAAACATACACGCCACTTTCGAGTCAGGTGGCGTGTTATCTCTACGCATTTTGAGCTATCCGCGTGTATCCACGTGTATGCTTGTATGTCTACGCCATTAACGTCCGCGTCATTCCGCGTGTCTGTACACGCAGTCAAATCTCCAGTCATAAATGCCATTAACCCCAGTGACGGTTAAGGTTTAGGGATGGGGTTGAGGTAAGTCATTTTTTTTTTTTTTACCTAGGATGGTAAGGGAACAGTCATAAATGCCATTAACCCCAGTGACGGTTAGGTTTAGGGACGGGGTTGAGGTAAGTCATATATTTAATAACGTTAAGTCAACGGCGTTCATAAACACGCTGAAAGGCGATTATGCGTCTTGATAGCACGCCAAAAATGTAAATACGAATTGGCGTGGCATACACACGCTACTTCATGAGATCAGTCTGACCTAGAGCACTTCCATTCTGACCCTAGTCATAGGTCGTGTCTCTCAGCTTCCCTGCAAACCCCTTCCCACTCTCCCAGTAAATGGCCGGGATTCAAAGGAAAGTGATTGGACTGGTTGAAATTGAACACATGAGAATGCATGTAAGTGGTCTTTGGTGGATTCCTGAGAACAGGGACAATGACCTTCCACGTAAAAAGAGGTTGAATTGTGACAGGAATTAATGGAGCATGTGCTGCTCATGTTACTTCATGATTTGTGTTCTGTTACAAACAGCAAGTGGTTAATAAACAACTATAAATATGTGATATTAGCATGTGAAGGTATCAAATTTTCATGTTGTGATAATCGTTGAAGCCTTTATTCTCATTACTTTATTCTATTTCTTTTTATTCTATTTGCTACTCTCTTTAACTAAATGTGTGGAGACAATTTACAGTTCCTGGAACAGGCCAGATCAAATCACCATTTGTGCAAGGAAAAAGTGTGTGTGTGTGTGTGTGTGTGTGTGTATGTACAGGTTTGGCCAAATATCCTCACATAAATAGTGAAACCGAGTAGTGAGGGTCCTCCTCACTAGTTGAAAGAGCTTATAAATCGGCCAAAACTTATTTTTATTAAAATCTATTGTTTTGTACATTTTATGAGGATTAGGGGTTGGGATAGTCGATAGAGAATAGCATTAACCTAATATAAAATCAATTAAACTTTATGCAATATCCTCGCTAATATAGTGAAACCAACGTGTGTGTGTGTGTGTGTGTGTGTGGGCTTCAGGGTCTCTTTACCCATATGTGACTGATTAACAGGGTGTTTGGAGGGCTAGAAGTTGATATTTGTTGACAGTTATATGTGAAATAGATTCAGCAATGCCCTATAGTAACATTGTCATCTGACTGTTAGCTCTGATCATTTTTTTTTTTTTTTCTGGTATTTTCTTTTCGCAGCTGTGTAGATACACATTTCCGCTGAAAATCTCTGAAATAGGAGGCTGGATCCCTGGGAAGTGTTTTTACATGAGTCACATTTCTTCGGACAGCGCAGTCCACAGTTATGCAATACACATGGGAAGATGCTGGTGAATCAGGGTTTGTTTTTGCTATAGGGTTTACCTAAAGTAGATTTTGATGTGATAAATATAATATACAGAACTATGGTTGTCTGTGAGTCTCAGCTTATGCCTCGGTCTGCTGTTTTGATTCTTCATTTTTCCTTCCCATCCCTTTGGGAGCCCACTCTGAAAATAAACATCAGCCCTTTTGTCTCTATGGCAACAGTTTTACACTTCACTGAATGCACAACTAGAGTGGGCGGAAACTGAAAATGACATCGAGTTTTGGTGAGGAAGTTAACTCGGGTTAATGAAGCAAGTCAAATCTTGTTGATATGGAATCTTGACTGATTATGGCAGTATGTAAAAAAAAAAAAAGTCTATGAATCTGCTAGATATTTCCAGCCAGAGCCTTTCAGTTCAATCTTGGGATTACAATCAGAGGCCATGATTGCAGTTTGACCTTTGCCCTCTGTCCAGATTTGTGGACCGTTTGGCTGAAGAATCTTGGACTTTTGTGGCAAGTCTTAAGCATGCTGAACATTTGTTGTTTTCTTTTTGTGTCGCTCACTCCTCGTCTAAATATTATTTAATGCCCTTCATCCGGATTTGCTGCTGGGATTGCTGAGGAGATTTCCACCTCCTAAGCTTTAAAATCTTAATGTGTGCTTGTAGTTTTCTCACGTTTTATGTAATGGAAGTTTAATTTCATGCTGCTCTGCAATTTCATCGATGAAAGGCACTGCACTGACATGAGGGAAGCTGCTAAACAACTTAATAAAAAAATTATTGAACTGCGTTTTACTCATTATTGTACAGATTTGAGGCAGAAAAGGTTTTGGAAATTGCTACAGGATGTAATATATATATATATATATATATATATATATATATATATATATTCCAACTATATACAGTACAGTTCAAAAGTTCAGTTGGGGTCAGTTAGTTTAAAGGGTTAGTTCACCCAAAAATGAAAATTCTGTCAGTATTTACTCACCCTCATGTTGTTCCAACCCCGTAAGACCTTCGTTCATCTTCAGAACACAAATTAAGATATTTAAGATATTAAGATCGCTCCTGCATACAGTCCATAGGCTTCTTGAGGGACCGGCTCTTGCTGTCCCCGAAAAGTCATTAAAGACATCGTTAAAATAGTCCAAGTGACTACATGGGTCAATCTTAAGTTTATCAAACGACGAGAACACTTTTGTGCGCAAAAAAACAACAAAAATAACGACTTTATTTCAACTATTCACTTCCTTCTCCATGAGCCTGTAAGTCAGTTAACGTAGTGTGATTGCGTAGAGCTACATCACACGTAGGCTCACTATTGGCCGACGCTGGTCATGTGTGTGTGATGTGTGTGACGTACAATAACAGAAGCTTACGCTATTAAACTAGTAACCTGACTCGCGCAGAGGGAGAAATAAACGAATAGTTGAAATAAAGTCGTTATTTTTGTTGTTTTTTTGCGCACAAAAGTGTTCTCGTCATTTGATAAACTTAAGATTGAGCCCCTGTAGTCACTTGGACTATTTTAACGATGTCTTTAATGACTTTTCGAGGACTGCAAGAGCCAGTCCCTCAAGAAGCCTATGGACTGTATGCAGGAGCGATCTTAATATCTTAAATATCTTAATTTGTGTTCCGAAGATGAACGAAGGTCTTACGTGGTTGGAACAACATGAGGATGAGTAAATACTGACAGAATTTTCATTTTTGGGTGAACTAACCCTTTAACTGTTAGTTATATTAGTTAGTTATTCTTTACTTCCTTAATATTATTCAGTAACACTTTAATTTTGTCAAAAGAGATGTAGACATTTATAATGTTTCAAAAGGCTTGAACCATGAGACATCATCAGTCCGTTGACGTTTGTAAAATGAAAGCAGCCAGTCACGTTTGACCCATCCCAAGGTCAGGAAGATCAGAACTGTGACAATAGACAGATGAGTCTAGTGGAAGTGGGTTAAGCCACGTCAGCATGTCTTTCCACCTTACAGCATGATCTCAGCAGATCTCAGTAGGCACATCATTCATACCGAATGTCACATTTTTGGTTTGTATTTGTTCATGCATCATATTTCTGTTGGTCTCACCTTGAATAGAGATTGAAAAAAATTAAAGGTGGGACTTCATTTGCATAGTCACTCATTAGGCAAGGCAAGTTTATTTATATAGCACATTTAATACACAATGATAATTCAAAGTACTTTACATAGAAGAAATTAAAATAATCAAAACAATGATATGAATAATTAAAACAGTTTAGAATAAAAAATAAAATACAGTACAAACAGTCGGACGAACAGTGGCACAGTGCTCACTGCTCATACAGTAAATGCACAGCTAAACAGAAGTGTTTTGAGTCTGGATTTGAATGTGACTGACAACTGTAGGAGTTGAGTTTGAGTTTCTTTATTTAAAGGGACAATGCACATTAATTAACATGAGAACAAGGTCCAACATGTAAATGTGCCAGATTTAGCCATACAGGCTAATTTTCATCTGCAGTCACTTCTGTAGGAGCACATCTTATCTCCTCTGGAAGCTGTTCCAGCTGCGGCTGGCATAATAGCTAAAAGTGGACTCTCTGTGCTTAGAGTGAACCCTTGGTGTTTCTAACTAGTGTGATCCTAATGAACTGAGTGATCTGTTATTGACAGCCCTCATTCAGTGAGCAACATATCTGCAATATATTGAGGTCCTTGCCCATTGAATGGTTTATATACCAGTAATAATACTTTAAAATCAGTCCTAAATGTAACTGAGAGCCAGTGTAAAGACCTGAGGACTGTGTGATATGTTCATATTTTATGGTCCTGCTCAGAATCCTGGCAGAAATCCATCCTAAGTCTTGACTCGAAACAAAGCATCTAATTCTTGCAATATTTTTCAGATGATAGTATGCTGATTTAGTTATTGCTTTGACATGACTTACTGAACTAAGGTATGCGTTCACCTTTGTTTCCAAACGCAATGACTTCAGTTTGTCTTTGTTTAAACTGAAAGTTTTTAACATTCAACTGTTGACTTCATCAATGCATTGGCACATGGCACACCAGATTGAAAATTGTTAAATTATCCATTAGAGCTTAAGAATTTTGTTAAAAAATTCAAAAGACAACTTTTTCAATATCTTGCCTATGAAAGGAAGAATTTGAGATCGGTTTATAGTTGCTTAAGATGGTCTTATCCAGATTGCTCTTTTTCAGGAGGGTCTTGACAACTGAAGTTTTCAGGGAGTTGGGAAAACTCCCAAAGAGAATTTACCACTTCTAGTTCATCTGCTTCTAAGCTTTTTTAATACACTTTTGAAAAAGGTGATGTGCGTCAAGGGTGCAGCTGCGCAGTTAATGTTTCAAGCTGCTGTACGTTTCTTACAAAATGTTGCCTTCAATTTATTCGAAACAGACATAGTAAATACTTTCTCAGGTTGTGGTCTAAACTGTCTGACCCCAAGAGCAACTCAAGGACGTGTTGATCACCTTTCCTTATATTATTGATTTTCATAAATGGCACACTAGTGTTCTCATTAGCTGCAATCAAACACAAGGGATGCAAATAAAAAACAGTTTGTGTGAACGTTCCTGTCTCAGTCCTTGTAATGAACACATGAAGTGATTATACTGGAAGAATGATTTAAAAAAACTGATCCTTGTTTAAAACTTAGCCTTCAGAATGTTAATCGCAGACCAGAATCATGCAACATTTATACATTAACTAGCTAGCAGACTGTACCCTAACATTCAAAACATCCCAGTTCCCAAGGCAACGGAAAAGAGCAAATTTAATTGTAGAGACTTCCCTTCGGCTCTCAGCTTTTATTACTGTTTACAGAGAGTGTGTAACTGAATGCTTTCGGGCTGCTACCCAATCTCAGGTCTACCAGGTTAATTAAAAATAAAAAGGGTGACTACACTTGCGTGATTACAAGGTGGAAATGATTAGAACTCTACTAAGTACATCGCAAAGCGTGTTTTATAAACAGAAATTCAATACAAAGCTCTGTGTTGACTCAGGTGAGGTCTGCTGCAGATGTGACACAACGTGAGATTTGTCTGGGAATGT